AATACTTTTACTGAATAACTAGTCGAAAGAACAACTCAGTTCAGTTTGTTTAATATTCAGTTTATATTCAGTGTGAATAAAGCCAATGAAAACTTACGTATTGATATTTTTCAGTCTAGTTTAGATGTCAAGTAAACCTTCATCTCCTATCAATGTTTTTCTTCTTTCTTATATCAAATTAAATGAACACGTTGACGGTTCTCCAGAAGAGAAGAAATGTATTATGACCTCCAGACCACAGAGCTGAATTCAACCAATTCACGAGATCGTGCCATCGTCTAACTTTAATGGACTCATGAATTCAACTATTAAGTTATTATAATATCCACGAAACCCCTCTCTGAGTTTCACTTCATAAAACATTTTTGGTATTTGTAGAATAAGTAAATTCTCAACTTTAAAATGTTTTCTGAAACTTGTATCTTTCAAACTACCATGAAATCTGACTAGCTTGTGTTTGATCCTGAGTGAGGTTGGTGGGCATGCATTGATATGAAGTCCTAAGTTGAAACGAAACAACCTTCTATTACTCTCTAGCGATTAATAGTTTACCAGGTGATGCCAGTCATTGGCATAAATACTCCTTAACATTTATACATGTTTTGTACGTCAACTTGTTACAATTCGTCATCGGTTAAGGTTAGCGGAGATATACTTGGATAATCTTTTTATTACTTAAAATCTACCAGTTTCAATTTGCATCGTAATTCGCTTACTAATTTCTAAACTACTTAAATCCCATGATTATAAATAGTATGTTGAAAAGAAACTCAAATATCAGATAGGTTTTTATTCATTTATATAAATTATACGAATAAATGTCATGAGTTTTTATTAAATGTGTAGGAGGTAATTTTCATCTCTTTACAACATCATTAATAAATAATCAACCCAACGCAATACATGTTGATTAATTGCACGTTTAATGTTCTTTACTTAACATAAAAATTCTATTATCTTAAAAAAACAAATTGTGTTTATAACTTTTTGTAATCAATCATCAAATGATTTCGCATTGTTGTTAGATGGTTAAACTGAGCTGATAGAAAACATTAGATGCTCGTCAGCATCGTCCACCTGGATTTGTAAGCAACTTGTTGGTCAATATGAGATTCAAAACTTCATCATTATGTCACAGACAGAGCTGTCATATTCCAGCTGAGACTTAATTACAAGAGGATTCTGGGATTTTACTGACTGATCACTGAGTGGTAACAATGCTATAGGTTACCATTGGTTTTGTCCAGTCATTTTTTTGTTCTTCGGCTCTAACATAGTTGTAGCTCTGATAGTAGCGAATGTAGTCTCGTGTTTTTACAATACTTGGTTGAAGCTCAGAGTTGGTGGGAATATCCAGTTAATGTATGAACGATATTTACTTATGTTCGTGGTATTTTGGACTATTATAGTTAACATGACTACCGAACAATATTTATAGTACCAATGATTGGAAACTGCTGTTACTCATTATTAATTTGATTTTTTCTGGTTTGAAAATCGGTAGTTGTTAACTACCAATCAATTTCATCAAAAAATATCAGCCACACCCAACATCGGAAACGAAGTCAAGTACAGAAATCAACAAAAGGATCACCATACCACACATAAAAGGTATATCGGAAACGACAAAGAGACTGCCGAAAGCTTTCGGAATAGGTGTTGTCCACAAACTAACAAAATCCCTCCATTCAATCTTATGCAAACCAAAGGATGAAATGACAAAAGAAGGCAAACCAAACATCAGCTACAAATTAAATTGTGCCAACTGCAACAAACACTACATCGGACAAAGCGGACGCCCACTTCATCTTCGCCTGCATGAACATCAATTAGCAATCAAACGCCACGACATGTCTTCACTCATATCAATAAGCGTGGACAACTGCGGACACACATTCGACTGGAAAAATGTGGAGTTTTTGGACAGAGGCAATTCTCAAAACACCAGAGAATTTTTAGAAGCTTGGCACTCAGGTCAATCAGCAATAAACAAGCACATTGAAATCAAACCACTTTATCAACCAATCAGGAAATGTATGCAGAGACATAGGAACAAAAATCAAACCAATGGCAGACACAATCAAAACGAAGAAATAAACAATGACAGATCTAAGGTCAACAAGAACCAATCAACATCGAGGTGTACAGGACAAGCTGTGAACCACATGTGGAGAAATTCAAACACTTCACTTCTACCCGAAGTTCGTGCTGCTGATGTCGTTCAGAAGGACGATGAAAGCTCCACGACCAAACCATCTAGCTCAGCGAACAAAACTCTATCAAAATGAATATATCTGTAGATTAGTATTACAGAGAGAATTAAAATGTAAGATGATGAAACACAAACCATGCACTTTGATTACTACCTTATCTGTATTTATCCTTTGGGATATGGAGGTGCAAGTTCATCAGAATCAGTAGATGAGAGAGAAAATGCTTAAGTTCTACAACAATTCATCAAGTACACATATTACTTTATGGGGAACTTATATAAATAGATGTTTTTTGAAATGAATGGGTCTGAACTGGATAGCTTTTTATTGTTCATGGCAGGAATAATAGCGGCCATTTGAAGGAAAAGTATCATTTTTAAAATAATCTAAAGCTTAGTTTTTGACTGGTTATTTTCATAGATTTTGATATCCTTGCGCTTCTTTGAATTTTGGAAGAATATTCTGTTTCGTTGACCTCTGATCAAGTGTTTTATTGACTTATTCTACATTATTTGATAAACTCTGTCTATGTAGAGGTGTTTGTTGATTGGAGATTGCCCTTAAGAAATTTTCTCGAATCTTCATTATTTCCTTGATCTACAATTTTGAAAATTTTTATGTCTGAGTGTATTAAAATAAGCGTCATTTCATTGCTAGTTTATATTTGCCTATGGTTAGATATAAAGAAGAGTAAACTTATTCTAAATCAGTGCTTTACTTAGTAGATAATATTGCATTAATTTTCTGTGACTGTTTTCTTAGTATAAAATGAGGTAAATTTGATGTATCGAAATGCGACAAACATTGATTACGAGGGTTTCAATAACATTGCTATAACTGTTGCATTATTATTCGATCTGGTTTATCTAGGTGATTTGTAACGGTAAATCGACTAACTAAAGTCGCTCAGTTGAGCTGGGAGTATAGTCGTTTCCATAGAAAGAGGTCAGGATATGGGTTTTTAACTCTTCACAATACTGTTTCTATACGAAATGTTTTATGTACTGATAAGTTGTTGCTGCGATGATTTAATTTCTAATTTATCGGGCTAAGCTTTCTACATATTCCTATTTCCAATCCGATTATAATAATTTTACTGGTGAAAATACTCACGAATAAGATTTTATGTGCTTAATTTTTTCTCATTGTTATTTTGATTTCTTCGAAGATATTGTCGACTAACAGCATTGGGTTGTGGAGATTATTAAGTTTTTTATTGACATCATGAACCGATTACTGTGAGACCACCATTGAAAACCTGGAGGCACTGGGACTCCTCAGCAGTGCTCATCTACGATCCCGCTCGCCGGTTTCGAACCCAAGGCCTTTGGTCTCGCATCTTTTTACATTTTATCATTAGAAATTTACTTTAAATCTATAAGGTTGATGATTTAATCATATCTATTGTATCAATGACTATTTTAGAGTATGTAAACATGGATATCTGCTATCAATGGGCATAGTTCATGTTCATTCATTCTCTATGTATTAATCAACTACCAGATGTCAATAAATATTATTCTCAAAAGTTAAAAAGTATTCAACTAATTATCTTCGGTTTGTGGTTTGTATTACTATTTAATTTGGATTTAAGGGTTTGCGATAAACATTTTGTTAATAATGAAAGATTTCTCAGATAATTTAGAAATTCTATTTGATCAATAAATGAGTTTGTAAGATACTTTCATGTATATACTGAATATCAAGACTCAGTGGCCGAGTGGATAACGCGATGGCGTTTGAAGCAAAAGGTACTAGGTTCCAGTCCCAGAGTGAACATCAACTCTGAGATGCAGGTACATCCAGCTGACGAGTCCCAAATAGGACGAAACGCGCGTCAAACTGGATTCCAGTGCTAGCCACTACCCATCTCTGAATATCTATGTTTAAATATTCTTCAAATAAACAAAAATGTAGCAAATATAAACGATATGTGTATGTATATAATGTGTGGGCGAGAATGACAATGATTGGTTGTCTTGATGAGTCAGACATTAGATAGGATGACAGGCGTTATGTGTCATATATATTCCCCTATCCTTATTATGTATTGACTGTTTCTTGTTGGACTGTTATTGTTTGACTGTTCCTTGTGTCAAATTTCGGTGTGGAAATATATTGACGTTGTAGTCAGGCTAATCTCGTGTTCTTGATCTGAGTTGTGTTGAAGACCTGTAGAATAGACACTTGGTGGGAATCTAGTGTAGATATTCGCCTAGGTAAATTAACGTCCCACATACGTGTAGAAAGTGAAAGGACTGTTATAACAAGAAACCCCAAGCGTTATAATCAGCATCCTCTACGTCTATAACAGTATATACATACCCGTCTACAAGAGACGGGTTCAAATCCAATTGAAAAAAGTATCATCAATTATGATAAACGAATCTGAACGGTTTAGGTTTAATTAATTACACAACTGCTACTGAGTTATTTCATAAATCCTAGGACACTCAAAAATTAATTCAAAACATATCACTATGACAATGTTTAAATAGCTCCCTAATTTCTATTAACCCATAGTCTTTCGAATCTTGCCAACTCCCACCCATCTTTATAAATCCATCATCTTTTTTTTTTTAATATTTAGAATAAATGGATGTTTTATTGAAAAAAATTTTATTCTTCTTTACATTCGAAATGTTTCATTATTTGATTGATAAAAGGTGATAAAATTAAATAGATAGATGTATATATATAGATGTATGTGTATACTGTTTAATTTGTATCATATTCTCTTTGTGAAGTAGTTCATTGTGTATTCTCAAAATGGTTTAATTTTTTAAATTAACCCATAAAACCTCGACGTTTGCCAATCATTCCTCGTCTTTTTAGCATAATTCGAAAATAGGTCGCTGAAATGGGTAGATATATATATAGAGAGTAAAAGAATATTTTGTAATAACCTTAAATAGGGATAATCTTATTAATAGTTAAACTTTAATCATAATAGATAAGTAAAATTGATAAAAATTGTGATGATAAACAGTAATTTTGACAGATGGTCGGTTTCGAACTTAGTTCATTAATAAACAACACCGTTTGTTTGTTTGTTTGTTTGTTTATTCATTCATTATACAATATAATAGTCGGATTGTTTGTTTTGTTGACTGTACAGATTTCACTAAACTTTCATATCTTGACGCAATAATTCCGGACGTAATGTTTACCTTTCTTTTTTTTATTTATATATCATCAATCACATATTATGAATATTCATAATAAGTAGTAAAACGCCTCTTTATCGGTAAGGCGTTATCTGTTATGCTTAATTAAAAAGGAATAAATAGTTTTATTTCATTTATAAAGTTATCTAGTTTATCAGTGATTACTTTGAATCTGTAATGTTATGGTAATCTAACTATAAATAATAAACACTAAATGAGAATTGCGTTTACTATTAAATGTAACAAATTTTTCCAAGTCATTTTATGATGTGTAGGGCCAGTTAAATGTCACTAAGTCCTAGCCAAATCATTCGGCAGTTTGACCACTGAATATAGAACGGATCCTTGATCCCTGTCAAAGTCAAGGACAACCAACATGTATCAGTTAATTGTACGCCATGGACTGTTCCATGCGGTGGTGGTTACCGCTTGTACCTACTTAAACTCATACATCTCTTTAATAACGTCCTTTGTGTCGTACGGTCTTCAAAGCATCCATAGTAGCTTGATACAACGAACAAGTGGTTCACGTTAAGTGTTGACTGCGAGATATCATTTTAACATTAGCTGTTGGTCACAACATTCCCATTTAACTCGAGTAAGTCCCCAATAATTCGACGTTGACGATCTACAGATGTCTACCAAAATCACAATGAAAGCTAAATGATTAGGTAATCCTATTCATGGAATATAACATTACCAAAATCTACTACACAATCTGTTACTTTTCCTTTATATATTACAGTAATTTATATTCTATATTCTGAAACTTTGATAATATTTTAATCTACTGACTCAAGTTTGCTATTTTTACTTCATAGTATTTTCTCACCAATGTTCAGTGTATTGAGGAATACTGTTGAAAATGTTAACAAATTCCAAGCTGAAGTATTCATTCTTACCTTTGCATTAAAATGAGGCTTTTCAGTAGTGTGAACATAAACATTTAACGGAATTTAATTATTTTCAGCTGATTATTTGAATATACTACTCATAATCAATTGAATGTAACCAAAAAAATAGTCCATGTCAATAAATCCAATCATTTTCAATAAGTCCTTACGTAATAAAATAATTGGGAAATCTAAATTTCACAATGAGACTTTAATCTAAAATCTAATGATTTAAAAACCAGAATCACAATAACCATCATCAGGTTCACTTTTTGATATTATCTCAAATGTGAAAAGTTCACAAATTCACGTAACATTGACGAGTCGATTTAAGCGAAAATAGAGATTAATCAATATTTGGAGTAAATGACAGAACATGAACTCTCACAATTAATGATAAATCTTCAAAAAGTAACCAAAATAGTTTTTTTTTTCGTGAAGTCAGTACATCAAATCTGGAAACATGGCTAATTGTGGTATAACACTATGTTGTATAGATCCTACTGCTGTGTGTTTAGTGAACCACAATGAGTACATTATTTTCATTCTTCAATTTTGAAGTTATGAATTAACATAGTTTTATTAAAGTTTAACCATCGATATGTTAACGAGAATCACTGTGACAGGTTTTCCATGCTAGAGTTTCGAAGCTGTGATTAATATCTCTGTTACTGTTAAACACTTTAAAGAAGATGATTTTATAAAGAAGATTTCATTGTTGCTTAAGACGTTATTAGAGTTTAGTGTAGAAATGAGTTCCTTATTTGCTCTATGAACTCAAGCTATCAGTGAAATAACACGATACGTTATCACTGACAACGATTTTTCTACACGAATACAGGCGTGAATTCGACGAGTAGAGTCAAAATTCTAGGTTGAGGGAATTTTAAGAATGTCAGAGAATTTCCGGAAGCACAGTAACCAGATCAATCAACAGTCAGCAGATATACCAAATTATACCCTGTCTATTATACCTTTCCTAAAAGGTCAATCAACAAACCGGATGGAATTCAATCAAACAAAAGCGTCAACATGGATAAAGAAACATGTAGATAATTGGAATCCACGAGAACAACCAATCACAGAAAATGGCGATGTAACAAGCTTTTTCAAAGTTCAAGGAATAACTAATTAGCTTAATCATGCATGAATTTAATGCTGGTGATATTCTCTAGAATAACAACAAACCAGAGAAATTAACAATATCAGTAGGGTAAGTGATTTTAATTTTGATCATTTTTTGCATGTCATATGTACATCAGGTAGAATTCGAAAATTGGTCACTGGTTAAAAATGATACTACATTTTCCTAAAATGTTTTGAACGTTCTTCAACCGATGACCTAACTGTCAATTACTTTTGTAATAGTTGGAACATTTAGTAAGTTTTTAAGATAAATACATCAGGATGCTCTGAATTTCTGCAGATAAGTGACTATATTTTGAAAAGTCATGGATTTTATATAAACTATCATAGACTCCAAAGAAATAACTATTGTATTTAAATATTTATTATTATTCTGGGTTTGTACATCAATGATCCTACTGCTAATCGAACAAATTGAATTCGATCTCACTATGAGAGTTCACTGAGCTAGGATCCAGTGGTTTACATGTCTGAATGCAATCACTCCCCGGCATTGCGCAATCATCTATTGACAGAGATGGATAACTGTCTCATACCTCATATGGTTGAAGTCCACCAATCAAGGATTCTGACTGAAATTCCTGGAACTACCTCTTGAAATGAGTAACTAATGATCTCATGATTATCATTAATAAAAGTAATATTCAGTACTATAATAGAAAATATTTTTTATCATTGGTTTCATTGATTAAAGTATGATTAACAAACGACTCTTTGTTTAGTTGGTTTAAAGACCAATTGTTATTATTTCAAGACACACACTTCTACAGTTTATTGATCCCCGAGTAGTGACCAAAGTCATGTTTGTCTATTCGTCAAGTAACTAACAGACTCTGTAGATCAAGTTACAACCTGGCCACTAGTATGAGTGACTTGACATCATATACAATATTTTGAGATGTTAGGTTATTGGAGGTATTCTGCAGGAAACCCTTTTTCACGAAAAATCTGTAGTTTGAGTTTTAATCACTGAATTATTTAAAATAAAATATTGATATGTCAGTCAATAAGTGGTTAAACTAAAGGTATGAACTAAAGAAATCCAACAGAATGTTACTTACAAAGACAATCAGATATATCGATCTCTGTTTCAGAGTTTTGATCACAAAAATTACAAACATCATGAATCGAAGGATTTGAACAACATTCATTCAAAGAAATTTGTTCGCTTAACACGCATCGTCTGAAAACATAAAACAGAGTTGACAGTACATGTTAATTCTCTTTTTTACTTATGGTTAAATATATATGTAACAGTAACAATAAATATAAGCATAATTTCAAGAATGTCTAGGTATAAGAACAATTATGTTGACTATAAAGGATCTGCAAACGTGTGGTTCTGTTAACCTTACTTGTATGATACTCTTTAAATGTGTTAAATATGCAGTTTGTAATTAATATTACTGTGGTGTGGTTTACTTATATCCATATAAGTAGTATATGGTGTTGGTCAGACATAGAATGTATTATCGCAGAAGACTGATTAGAAAAGAACTGAAACGAAGCGCAATCGGTAGGAAAATGCACGGACAATGAAATTAGAAAAGAAACAGTGAAGATCGAGACTATTGGTTGTTAATTTGCAAATTAACTGTCCATTGTATGGTTTTCAGAATTTACTGAGATAGTCTGTAATTTTTGCTTAAATATACATTCGACTGTCCCCAGTCGTGTTCTGTTCACTACATTACCACTCCTAAGTTAGCATGGTGATACATACCTTAGTCTGATATCTCTGTAACAATTTTTATTTGTACCTTTGAGATTCTGATGTCATTCTGTATTTAAAACATTGAAACAGCATAGACTTTTTATGGTATTGATCCCTAAACTACCAAGCGACTCAAGAATCTTAAACTTCGGTAAATCTGTAATCTAAAGTTTAGTAGATACTTAAACTCTTTTACTATATTTACAGAAATAAACATCGAAGAACTGAAATGCTAGTTTACTGGAGGGAGTTAGAAGGAAGAACTGAACAGAGGTTTCATGTTGATTGATAATCGTCAGTTAGAGGTTTCTTAACCTAGTTCTAAATGATGTTTCTTATAAGTTCGAATTCATGTCATACTGTATCTCAATCAAATAACATCATTACTGAGCTTTTTGAATTGTAAACCACTTCCTGCAAAACTGGTTTATAAAAAGTTTCAGGTCACTGTTAAGTAACTAAAAGTTGCACAGCATGACTATTTAACACGCATTTACTAAATTAAAAAACTATGCAGAGTAATGATTATGTCAAGTTAAATAATGATAAAATATATTTCATCTAAACAATGAGTGTTAAGAATAATTCATCTTCATAAGCCTTTAACTAAACTTTATAATTTAAAAAATCTTTCTCTCATAAGCAAACTAATCTGCAGTAACTCGCCATACTGGTTTCAAACCCAGCTTATAAATAGTGTAATAGAATTCATAAATTCATTGATATATGATGCTTATGAATAGTAGTAAATGTGAGTTTGGATGATGACTGAACGAATGGATTAAATCTGAAAATGTGGAGCATTGTGCTTGGGCTCATCACTTCTATAATATCGTGTTCCAGTTAAGACATGAATGCCCCAAGTAAGAGTGTGGGTGATTGTTGTTGTAGAAAACGATATTAGAAAGATATAGTTTTTTCCAATTACTTTTCATTTGAGTTTACTCATTCTTAAAAATGAACTGCACGAACGTTTGGAGAACAATCAACCAAGGTAATGTAAATGCATACTTAGTGTAATAACACAAAACGAATAATAAGCATTCAAAGAATCTTATTTATTATATAGAACACCTAAATGATATTCATTTTACCCATACTATAATGACTATTCTTAAGAATCAGAATTGAAATTGCACTTTCACATACTGAGTATAATCTTTACTACAGTCATTCTGTACATTGATCTTGAAGGAGATAATATAAAAATATAATTGACGGTCCTGGGTTCGAATCTCGCGAGAGTGGGTTCGTGGATGCGCACTGCTGAAGAGTCCCATAATAGAACGAAACGGCCGTCCAGTGTTTTCAGGTTTCCCATGGTGGTCTAGCTTCAATTGACTCACGCTTTCAACTATGAAATATACTAAAATCTCCACAAAAACCCCTTCTGAAGACTATTTTTTCTAAAACAGATTAATTATCTATGTATGGACTTCAATAAACAAAAAATAATGATAATCAAAGAAATGAATCAACTTACTCGCAAGCTGCAACATTGCATTTGAAGTATTTTGCTTTAGATATTGAAATAGTTAAGAAGGCAATGAGCATACATAGAAGTATATAGTCATTTATTCGTTTGTAGAACATGTTTAATCTTGTCTTTGAGTTATGATGTCCTGGGTAATTGTTTTTGTGAAAACTTTACTTTTAGTTGCTAAAATAAAAAGAAAATATTAAGCAAGTGTTTTTTGAAAATTTTACGCTTAACATAAATTAAATAAATGAAACTGTCTAAAAGAGATTATTCTCCGCTGAAGTTTCTCCCCATTCTTCTTCAACGATATTGTAGTGTGTGCTACTTATATCGGCACAAGTGGTATATAACTCTAGTCAGGAATAGTATATCTGACAGCAGAAGGTCCAGAAGATCGAGAAGGAAAGAATGGGAACAGAAAGCATTTGGTATGGAAATGAAGGAACAATGAGGTCTGAGAAGTTTGACTGACATTTACAAAGAAACAGTCAAGTTTGATATTTTGCAAATTAAGTATTTACTGTATAATCCTCAGATATTCTGTAATTTTGCATTCAAATACATTCGAATTGTCGTCACTTGTGTTCTCGTTCAATGCAATACCACAGGTCTCTTTCGTTACTTAGATTAATCTGTTTGAATAGTTTTTTTCTCTTTTTTTAAAAAACTTAGAACTATCGATATAGTATGTTATCCTACGAAATCTGTAAGCTTGTCATAAACTCATTTTATTCTGTGATTTTGATTTTAAAAGAAAATCTTACGACCGCCAACAATGATTAATGTATTTAAAAAAAAGAAACACGAGTTCTCAATATACAGATTATCAATGTTGCATTCCTTTGAAAGAGAATAAAAATCTGATTTACTAATTTTCTTTGAGAGTCAGGTTAGTGGTTACTAATGAAACAAATAACAATTAACTGAATGGACTAGAGTAGATGCATTTCGAAATCGGTTATCCTCCCTGGCCACTGTTTGAAGCCTTGATCTCATAAAGAACTTTCGAAATGTTCTCTTAAGTATACAAAAAGATTGTTGGCTGAACCATGAATTGATTAAGAATATTTCGGGATATTTTGAAGATTTTTGAAGTAGCTAAATTTAAACGCATTTATTAATCATATTTGTAATGGAGACGCTATTGCCACCAATTTCTTTTTCATATTTTTAGCTTAAACAATTACTTCACACACATCTGAACTCGTAAACTAATTTCATCGTACATATTTCACTGAAAACGTTCAATGATTATAAAAACTTCCATTTGATACTTGAACTGTCTAGTCGCTTATCTGAAAACATTTTAATAGACCAATATATATGTCAAAAAAACTATAGATAAAGTTGTTATACCTAGATCTTAGATTCTTAATGTACCGCGTATAACTTGACCAGTCGAACGCTAGAACCCTGTCAAGTCGAAGATGACAAGATAGAAGACAAGTAAAAGGAATATTATTCCAAACAGTGTCATATATATGGTACAGAACTCTCAGGTATTCATAGTTTTTAAGTAAAAACAAAATCATCATTATAGTGATCTAATTCGCATACAGGGGTTTTTAGCATTTGTCCAACAAGGAAGCTTCATGTAGAGATTCCGGTATATTCTTCCAAAAGATGATTGGATGAAGTTTTTTCGGCTATTTCTGAGCTTATTAGAGCTTTTTCGAGTTCACCCATGGGCTGTCCATAGAAAAGTATAACTTCAGTACATGTTATTATTGTATGTAAATTGATCTCACTTATGCATCTATGCACTACTTTCAAACTGATACTTAGATAACATCTATTTATACATAATATTCAATTTTGCCGATAGCTTATAATTTTAAATTAATCTGTTTCATATCTATTCATTAATTACATTTAATGAAATAGATTAGTTTATATTTTGAGGCTATTTTTCCATTTGATTGATACACATTTCCCTCCCCTCCCCTACCCCCCCCCGCATCCCTATATACTAATTGTAATTAATTCAAGTGTTACAACAATATCTATTATTAGTTATTTTTCATTCAATCAAACTAATGTTATTTACACAGTATATGATTTACATATCCTTTACTTTATTATAACTTGATTAAGGTTTGCCTTTTTTTTGTAACTATCGAGTTGAAAAAAAATTACAAAACTCCAAAAGAACACTAGATAGATATAGACATAAAAAGTGCCGATAAATATCCATGAAACATAAAAGCCAATTGAAATATTAAGTTCCAATTGAATAATTTTAATCAATAAATGAAAGTTAAAAGTAATTTACACTTTGTTAACTAGATTTTCAGGGGGGGGGAGGGGGAAGGGTAAGAGAAGAAAGTTAATTTGTTCTTTAATTCATTATATTATAAAAGGTATTCAGTTTTTATTTTATAAGATAACAAAGGATTTTTTCACTTTATATGGTTTATACAATAATATATTTAACTAGAAATCAGTCATGCAAATCAATTGTCTATACATTAATTAGATTATATTAGTTGAATAATATACAGTTGCTTAAGTCTAATTGAATTAGTTTAACTTGGTGATAAGTAGTTAAATTCATTCATTATTGTTTGTTTGAATCTTCCCATTGATGTTTTTAGGACTGCAGCTTGTCAGTCTCTAATTGGCATATATGCATACTGTGCATATTGCCTCGATATAGCCTTAATTTACAAGCATGGTAAGCAGGACTCAGTGGCCGAGTGGATAACGCAATGGCGTTTGAAGCCAGGGTACTGGGTTCGAGTACCAAAGTGAAAATCAACTCTGAGATGCAGGCATATCCAGCTGACGAGTCTCGAGTAGGACGAAGCGCGCGTCAAACTGGATACCACTGCTAGCCACTAACCATCTCTGCTTACCATGACTTTCCTTTTGTTCAAACCAAATACTCCTCAAACAGGTAATCAGTTTTCTGTTATCTGATTCTGAGTACTGATTAAATTCAGTCCATCAAACCGTAACTTGAAACTATTAAATTAAATAACTTGACAAATGCATAAACTAAAATGATATAGTTTGATTAATTGTTAGTTGGTTAGAGACAACGATCTCTGGATCGTAGTTTTGTTCTCGCTGGCACATGTCGACATGGTGTTATTATCCAGGAAAGAACTTCAAATTGACTTGTATTATCGTTATAATGAAAGATAGTACTAATGAATTTTTATGCCTTAACTGATCTTCTTTGAAATTAGAATGTTTTTGTTTGTATGTTGTAAATCAGTTTATCTTCATAAATTATAAAATAATTAAATAATCATATTGCCTTTCAAAGATTAGCAGAAGGACAACACTTTATGACATCAGTCTATATCATAAATTCTTCTGTTTTTATACTTGTTTTAATGAAAGAATTATGTTTTTCAACTGTATATACTTATGTGCTTTCATAAAATATCTACAACATATAAGGGAGCTAATCTAATTTTCAAAAGTACCAACACAGTAGTTCGTATATATTCTTTCTGTGAAATTTGAAGATGACAGAGGCTACTACAATAGAATTCATACGTTAAATATGGAGCGGGATGCCATGGAAACAAACCCAAACGTAAACAGTTACGGATAAGTGTGAATGATAGCTGATACTTGTTTGGAGACGCTTTATACAGTTTTTTTGAATATTCACAAGCTTAAAGCTTCTAATACGAGAATCATGTAATTTTATTCAAGGAATCTTTTCTATAAACATATATATTGAATAAGATGATGATTATTATCAGATAAAACACAAGAGACCGACGCCACGGGTTCGAATCCCGCAGGCGTAATCGTGGATGCGCACTTCTGGGGAGCCCCACACTAGGACGAAAGGACTGTCCAGTGCTTTCAGGTTTTTAATTGTAGTCTGAAATTGATCGCTTCATTATCTCAATCAAATATATTTCCTGTTGCAGGAGAAAATATTTTTATTCAAATTATTATTCATTACAAACATCTTGCCCAAAATGGGATATGATCTTTACCATTTAAATCACATGGTTAGTTTTACCTCTAGCTAGTTTTTTTTGTGTGGAAGAAAATAGGTAATTTAAAATACTTTCAAGTAAACATCACTTCTCAAATTAATTTTAGCTAGACAGTCTTTAAAAGCCAAGAAGTAGTGAACAAATATTACGTCCTGTTTTGATATACATTCATTACTAGAAGAGAGGTCAAACCAAGAACTTTTAGGTTTTGTGGCAGAATTTACTTTTTAGATCACTAAATTTATATTCATTCCTATTTTTAAATTCAGTCATATCGTTGAATGTTTCATTGAATGATTTCAATGATTATATAATTAAAGTAAGTTTGATACGTAATTTATAAGCTGAATAGTTTCTCAATGAAAAATTTCATTAATAGAAATAAATATAAGATTTAATATTTAGATCAAAACAATTGTTTGATATCGATTGATCATAAGTCAGTTACTTACTGATCTTCACTTCACGGTGAGCATTTAAGTGGTTGGATTATTAATCATCTTTACTAGATGTACGGAAATTGATTATAGATAGACTAATGAACTTTCACTTAATATTTGAATTGTCATAATAAACTAGTTTTTAAACTCACTGGCTTAAATAGCACCTTATATTTATCTGTTTACTTATATTCTATGGTAGTTCCGTAGACATAACAATGATTGTTAGGCATAATGGAGTGAGCAGGAAATCTGTATCTTATAGTCACGATTTCTGGTAAGGTTATAAGTTATTGCCATTGATACATTTCAAATTAGAAGAAAACAGCTATTTAGCGCCTCTCGTTTTTAACAGTTCTTCAGTTATGGCCAGTTTGTGGTGAATACTGTCTTTAAAGTATTATCATCTAAAGTAAATTTTACCATGATCTGACATCGACTCAGTGATGTAAAGATATTCATTTCAAGCAACATTTAAACAAAGAAAGGTAATTGTAAGTAAATAATACATTAAAAGAAGCAAACAATATTAATTTCAGAAATGTTAGCAATCATGTCAAGCCTAAATGTGGTAACTGAACACATCATGAATTTTATGTATATTAAACTTGTTTATAAATGATTCCTTGTCTGTTTTTGATGAAATAATCTATAAAAAAAATATGAAATCTGGTAACCGGCTTTTGTAGTGATTCAGTTGAATTCAGG